TGCGTTTGGCAATTGAGCGCGACCCTTAATTCTACAGAAATTTCATCGCTATAAAGTGCAACTATTCAAGCAACCCCCAAAAGGAATTGTCAAATAGAACTGTTGAACCGCAGATTAAGGACATCTATTCTGTTGGCTTTGAAAGCGATTAGGTCTCTTCAATTTGTATGTCTTCCACTACCCTCGTGAGCATCCCTCTCCGTTTGTGCAACCACAGATCAACCACCCACTTGGCCTGCTTCTTTGGGACCAATCGAAGAGGTTACAAAGTTGAACTTTTCGAGTAAAATCTGCACTCAATTCGCACAAACGCTATCACTAAGTGTTTGCTTGTTTCATCACATCACCAAGTAGTATGTGGCACCGATCCACACAAATTTCCCATTCCTGATACGGCAGAGGCATTCTGAATGTACGACAGAAATCTACAACAGTACACCAGCATTCGAAACCTCACAATTAAAGTCGCCAGATTCCTTACCTACTCCGAACAAAAAGTGCCTTCCTCTTAGAACCAACAAACAGTCCATTCTGACACCCTCCGCAACAGATTCATTTTTGCGTCCTTACAAAGACGTATCTTCCAGCCGAGCGTTCAATAGTTCAACATTTATCGCGACTCCCAAGGTTAATAGTCTCCTTGTGGTGATGATCCACATGGTGACGTTAGGAGGATGGATATTAGCGAAACACACTCATTTTCAAACAAAGTTGGTTTGGCGTGAAACTCATCTGGAACCCAGCAGAGTCCCTCGTTTGTGATGTTTCCAGGCAACTGAATGTGCTGCACCAGGCGGCCTCATGTTTCATTCGAGATATCGCGATACATGTATAGACGTATTGCACTACTGATAAGGCTGCTGAAGATTTTTCACAAACGAGGGTTTCAACCGGGTTACAGCTGAGTCTCTCGCAAAGCCAAATTCGTTCGCGAATGAGTGTAGTTCACTAACTCTGTGCAATTTGGTTTTAAGTAGAACATACGGTTGACGGAAACTCGGGGACTGCGCCTACCTGATGAGCCCCAATGAGGGCGAAACCGGTCGTGGGCTGTGGAAGAATTTTCAGCAACCTTATGAGTAGTGCATCAAGGATAGATAGTGCGCTTCTCATGAATCTCCAAGGGGAACCGAACAGATGACGAGCCGGCTATTACGATCTACTAACCGGCAACTTTCAACAATTAACAGAGAGGCCTCTGGTAATTCGTGAATTGCGCTTTCCCAAGAAGGAAGAAAGAAGGAGGCGAGATGGCTCAAATGGTAAGAGCGCGAATCTACTGACCGGTTGGCTCGAACCGTCCCTGTGGCTCTCGACTTCCCCTGTCCAGGCTTGGGCAACCTGGCAGTATCCAGGCCTCCCTGCTCCCTTCGGGTGGCACGGCAGCTAGGCACCGAAAGGGTGTTACAACTGAACGGATTGCTGGCGTTCTTGTATAGAATGACGGATGATGAAGTCCAGATTGAAATACCCAAACTTTCCGCAGCTATCAACCTACTGAAATGGCGAGACCTAAGGTGGCGATCTCAGCAATCAACTGGAGTCACTAGGCAAAGAGGGGAATAGTGAGGTGCTACTGAGAAGAATGTTAGAAACGAACTTCACACAGATAGTCGCCTTTTTCGTCTGTCGGGCTTAGAAATACTATCCGTACTGGCATCAACTTCGTTTCACAGGCCACACGGTGTTTTGAAACGGAACAGCTGCATCAGAACTGCACCAAAAGTGACTTTGTTTTGCCCTGACAGTCTATGTGTTTTTATTCCGCGCACCAAGTCATCGTGGGTGAGTCACCTGCCAGCCGCGAGAATCCCACATCCAACTAGAGAATCCACACAACACTATTGTTGCAGTCCGATTATCATTCAACCGAGGCAGAATGTGCGCGAAAAAGTCACGGAGATTCAACAAACAGGTGACTGCCGGTAGGTGTGTTGTTCATTGACCCTATTTTTCGCACATAGCACGTAGAGAGTCTAATGGAATTTCCTTGTTACCCTTGTGACAAGCAATGCTGATTGAGAAGAGATCAGGTGACCAGGGTACAAGATGGAAAGACACTGCCAGTTAGAAAGAAATTACTGTTCTGGCATCGGGGACCGAAACACAGAAATGACAACTGTTCAGTCGTAGCACCCTTCTAGGGCCTAGCAACAATAACGGTTGGAAGAGNCACCCTTCTAGTGCCTAGCAACAATAACGCTTGAAAGAGGCACGAGGACTGAGACACAGTCAGATTGTCCAAGAAGAAAAAGGAGCATGTGAGATTAGGTTCGAAGCACGGATCTTCCGATTAAAAAAAGTTCGTGCGTCCAGCAGTGAGCAAGCTCGAGACTCACTTGCAAATAAGCTCAGCAGATTGAACTGAATATCTGGTTTATCATAGGCTGACGATAAGGCGCACCGGATGTCACTGGAGCATAGTGATCATGTCTACGACAGTTCGACCTTCCTCGCTGAGATTAGCGTCGGTTGCGTGCGAAGAACTTTGACTAGTGTTGTCGAGGTTTTTCCATCGAGCGTTTTAGTGATACCTGGATCGGTCTTTGGTTCTATATTGGAAGGCGTGTCAGATTTGGTCAGTTCGAAATTTCCCGTTGCCCCGTGTGCCCTGACAAGCGACCCGGCAATACGTTACTAGTTGGTCGCGAACGGGTGAGCCATCCCCAAAATACCCTATCTCGCTCCCATGCCGGACTACCAGTGGTAACGGTGATACTACTGATGGGAGGACATGCGAGTGGGATGTTTTTTCGTAAATCCGCTTTGCTTCTCTTGAAAAGTGAGATCTACTACGGAATTTGTCGAGTCACTTTGTAGCATTTGCACGGATTTGAGCAACAGTCAGTGAATATCCAGGAAAGTTCAGGGAGGCATGTTCAAGGAGAAGACAGATATTCAGTTTTTGTAAACAAGATGCGTATGAGGGTTTTGCTTCGCTGTCCAATGGCCTGTGACTGTTCAATTGGCATTTTCTAATAAATAATTCCGCAGCGAAAGCCTTCTTCCTTTCAACGGTATCCAGATCAATGGCATTCCAAACTTCGCCTCTCCCCGGCAGCAATGAGATGGCTATTTAGTCCCACTTACTTTAGCAGACTAGAGGCACTCTAACAACGCTCCGAACGAGTCAAACTACGTTACTTGCTGTTCTGGTGACCACATCAGAGAGTCAGGTCGACCGTTTGCCCGACAAGTACGACAAGTAAAAGCTCAATGTCACAGAAGCTATATTTAGCTCGCGCATTTGGCCCCCGACAAACTATTCATCCCCGTAGCCAATGAACAATTGGTCAGGATGCTAAAACTGTTGGCCAACAGTTCGCTGTCCACTGAGAGTTCACAATGGCCAAGATGTGTGCTTTCAGACTCAAGTCTTTTTACCCTCCAATCATGTCACAGTAAACTTAGTGAAACCAACCAATCAGTGGGTATTGGGCTTATCCGTGTACTGTTCGGCTCACGTGGAGGAAGCCTGCTGGAAATTAGAAAACCTCTTTTACACGCTAGGGTTCTTTTTAGCCGAATTTCCAGAAACAACTAGATTACTCCCTTGTTGGCTTTTCAATGTTATCAGGAAGGTAAGATTCCTGAAATCAACCACTGAATGCCCGAAATCTACGGAGACCCTCAGCTGCGCTAGATGCTGACCAGCAGATAACGCCACCGCAACATGCAGCGCGTCAAAGCCTCGTACCAAAGCCAGACCGAGTGAGTCAGCATTGGACTAAGTTCAGACAGTGTCCCTCCAACACATAACTTGAGACCGTCGTTTTTTGCACTCACACGCACTCGCTGTTCGGAATATAGCTCTCGTATGTCATTTTCCCGGCACTGGAGTGGGTCAGCAATCAGATACAAGATATTGGCGAATCAGCAGATGTCCACGAGACGGTGCCCATTTCATTTGGTCCAATTCTTTAGGTGGTTCACACCTCTCAACCGAAAAAAACAGCAGTACGGGAATCCATTCCCCTTGGTCGATGCGAGAAGCAATACGGATGTGCGCGGCACCCCGAAGTAAACCCGCTCGGAGTGAACATTCCAAACATCCAACACGTGACCAAAATAAAGTCCTTAGAACACATCGTTTCCAAACCCTTCACGGTCTTATCGTCTCAATCGAAAGAACTTAAATAACAGTGTACCATCTGTGTAAGCATGAGGCATTAGCTGAGCCCACCGGTTTACGTCATCCACAACACCGAGTTTCTTTTAACGACTGCCGTCAGTGCGAACATCACAGTCCAAGTATGCGATGGGTCGCATTTGGCAGCCTCGCTGTAGTCCCAAGAAGAGATCCAGTCACAGTCATCAGCGTTCGACTGGTGAAGCACGACAAAGTAGGTCTAACCTCGTTTCAGTGCCTAGCTACCATGACAACTGAAGCAGGCACGAAGGTTGAGATACTGCCGGAATGCTCAAGTGAGGATAGGAGGAGCCAAACATGGACCCTCCAGTCAGTAAGTTAGTGCATTCCCGAAACAAAACAGCACCGGTGACTACCCAAGTGGGCTGCACTTTTGATTCCGCTCTTGAGCACTCTAAGAACGCCTCATCGTGGCCTTGCTTGACGCAGTTCGAATTCGACATGGATCAGGAACGGTAGGAACTAAACTTCAAAAACTACGGATATCCGTTATTACGTGTCAGAAACCAAGAGGAACGTTGACACCTCACTTTCGGATCCATACAAACCAGAAAGAACTTAAAAAGGCATTTGGCAAGGGAAATGTTCACGTCAGCGTTAACCAACAATCAAAGCAACCAGACGCCGGATGCTGCCCTGATTTGACAGTTTAGTTCGAATCGGGGCGTGAACAGAACTCGTGGCCGGACTGAGGACTTACGCTCGCTAATCTTTAGGATGTTTGCTCTTCAGAAGCCCACTCGTTGTTGCCCAAACGGAGACGCGTAGTCAAGGAATCGGATCCCTGCAAAACATACTGTCAACCGAGCCCATAGTAGAGGGGTAGAACCGCACACAGACAAGCAGTAAGTAAGCATATTACACAATACCAACTCGGTAGAGCAGGAAAACAAAAATCCGGGTTATGAATGTGACGATACGCGGGCAGCCTAGCGCGATATGAAATGACAATTTGCGACTGAGGAGATCAACAAAGTGAAAATCGGGTTGAAATTGGGTTAAAATAACCGGGACCGACGGGTAGGTAGGTAGGAAGGAGGACTATGTACATGGAACGGCGCACATTTGTAAAAAAAAATTGGACAGCAGAAGGTTAGTAGTCCGATCCGGTAGAGTTTATACTGTGGTAAGCTTGCGTTTGACATTTGTGTCTGAAGGGGATAAACGAGGAGAAAAGCAAAAAGGTCAGCATGATACCTTTGTGTCATCAACAGACTGCTACAAATAAACTAAAAAAGCATGACGATGGAGAATCAAGGGATGATTCCACGTCATCAAGTGTAAACCTCTATCGGAAAAGACAAATTACTTGTCGAAATACACTCATTTGCAAACCCAACTGGATCTCTCGTTTATGATGTTTCTAAACAACGGATTGTACTGTACGAAGCCGTCTCATGTTTCAGTTGGTACGAATTCCCCTGTCTCGGCTTGGACAACTTGGCAGAATTCCAGCCCTCGTGCC